CTACCCATTAATTCTTGGGTTCAGAGTTAAGATTGACTGATAAAAGGAACAGAGGTAAAAAATCATTAGTTAGAAGAATTTATTTTATGTAGGGATGCATAGGTAGATGGAATATATTCTCTCTTGGTGGAAATGGTCTCAAATTCTCAGTGACCCTGAGCACAGATCACTTCTAGAAGTGTAGAGACCATAGCTATCTATTGAGAGTTCATCAGTTACTAGTTTCTCTGTTCTTATGTGTTAAACTAAAAACAAAAAAATCTCACACAAGTAAAAATGACAAAGTGGGGGTGGGGAAAAAAAAAAAAAAAAAAAAAAAAGAGGCTGGCACTTAATCATTTAATAGAAGAAAAAAAAAGAAAAAGAAATTGTACTTTGTGGAAAGTAATGAGAAAATAATTTTAACATTTAAAAGGAGATAAGCTATTCAGTTCTAGTGAATTTCACTATTTTTTTAATATAAAAAGCATTGAAATCCAATCCATAAAAAAATATTCCGTATTTCATTAAGAAAAAAAAAAAAAAAAAAAAAAAAAAGAAAGAAAAAAAAGCAGTTTACTTTTTTCTCAGAAAATTTCTTTCAAGCTTATTTTTCACTGCCACGCCACTTTTTAGAGACATGTAAAAGGACATTTTATAATTTTAGTTATTCCTTAAAAAGAGTCCTCCAATGATAGGACAAATAGTTTTATTTTATCTTTTATCATTAGTTTTTTTTAGAATTATGAAATCACAGACTTCATCCAGCTTGTGCATTCTCAATAGAAACAAGTTTCAACATTTCTTAATTCTGGAACATATTTCCATTGATAATATAAATAGAAAAGTTTCTATTCTCTAGTTTATTCAATTCTCCTGGAGTCATGAGATTTTCACCAATCATACTTACTGATGCAATCTAAGAAAGATTGTATATTTCTTATAAAATGGGAGTATACACTTGACAAATGATGTCTGTGTTTACAAGAAATTAATAGAAAAAAAGCTATAATTGTCTTTCAATCCCTTAAATGAAGTATTGTAAATTATTAATTTTTTTTATTAGTATTTCCATCATATTTCTGTTAATGAAACGTTTCATTTAAGAAATCCAACTTTTACAACTAAAACTTTTAGTGTAAACTTTATCATAGATGTGCAGTGGGGATTAGAGAAAAGAATATAGTCACACAGCTTATTTGAATGACATTTATTAGTAAAACTTTCATGGCCCAAGTCGTTAAGATGCTCTCTTGGCAAATTTAACTCCCTTAAGCAGTAAAGCAATCTTGAAAAGTTTTACAAACAATGAAAACCTCTTGTGAGAGTCTTTATTCCATGTGCTTATTTGGCTACTGGCCCTTAAAAAAAGAGAGGGGACACTCTTTGCACAATAACAGCAACATACCTTAGTGAATGCGTATGTGTGTATATATATTATAATATAAACATAATAATTATAATACATATTATATATGGTCTTTCTTCAGTCATCCTTCCATCTCCAATTAAGTCTTTTAAAAAAAAGAAAAAAAAAAAAAAAAAAAAAAAGAAAAAAAGTCAAATGTTTTCAGCAAACATAGCATAAACTAAAAATTTAATATTGCAGAAGAATATGCTACCATGACAACCACCACACAAATTTTCTTTTAACGATTATTGGTTATGGATAATATTTGTTTTTTCTTCTGTCTGGAAATATTTCTAGAATTCTTAAATGTCATTCTTCAAATTTCTCAAGTAAATTTATGCAATTTTATTAGAGATGCAGCATTTGTTTTAAATAAACTGTCTTTTGGATTGAAGCTGGAATCTGCTTTAAGGTAATTAAACTAAAAGTAGAATAAAAATATTTAAAGTGAACATATTTCATGCTAATCAAAAATCACTAAAATGACCACTATGACCAACAGACAAGTTTTTTTTCATTGTATTTGTACATTTTCTTCCTCAATTAGATTTTTAAAAAATAATTGAAATAGTAATAAAGTTACTAACTGTAAGCTATTTTCATTTGGATAACAACAACATTGTGCAATCTTGTAAATATCAAATAGGAAAAATAACTACAAAAATCAAAAAATGTAGAACAGTAAAAATAAAAAACACCTTCAAGCGCGAGCATACGAAATTATCTTTTGTCAGAGCAATAGAATGGGAATAAAGTTTTGAGGCTCCAATGAGGCCCAAAATTGTTGATTCAATTTAAGAGGAAATTTGATCCAAAGGCAAATCGCAAAACAAAGGGATATATTTTCTGTTTGTCAGTGAGTAAATCTACATAAACCTAAAAAACCAAAAATCACTACTGTAGACAATTTTGCAACTCCCATAAAAAGTAAATAAACGTGTATTTTTTGTCAACAGTTAGTAATATAAAAATAGCATTTTGTGGAAAGTATCAAGCAAGATCTATATGGGTCATGGAGCCACCAAGTACTTTTTAAGGTTAATTTAAAATAAAAAGAAAAAAAAAAAAAAAAAAAAAAAAAAAAAAGAGACTCCCTTTGTTTCTTAGGAAACAAAAAAGAGGGATTTATTCTTGACCATATTTTCACAAACTTAAAGACAAAATTAAATGAAAAGAAATACTTAATGTTACAAGAAATAAATGCTAAAAAAAAAAAAAAAAAAAAAAAATCACTTTGCTAAAGTTGTACAAAAAATTATTTTTTTAGCTCTTAAAAAAAAAAAAAAAAAAAAAAAAACTAAGAAAGATCGTAGAGACACACAGTTCTAAGTAATTAAAATTAAAAATATGCTATAGTATTTATCAATAATCTCAAATTTCATTAATATAGGTAGATATTTTTAGTAGCTGTAATAAAAAAAACAAACATAAAAAATGGGTAAAAAAAAAGAAAAGAAAAAAAGAGCCAATTATCCATAAAAAGAAAAAGATGAGGTTGCAAAATCGCTCTTTGTGCAAGATGTTTCATAATGACATGTCACTCATGTGTTTTTTGTAGACGTATTATAAACAAATTTTAAAAACAAATAAATTTAAACTTAGCATTTTAGACATTATCATCTGAAGTCTTTTTCAATAGTTACAAGTTACAACGAACTAATTATATTACGTTTTGTTTTCACATTTATAAGAACAAAAAACAAAATGCAAAACAATGCCCTCCAAGACAGGCTAAAATCCACACACACAAAATAAAAAAGTAAATAAAAAAAATACATAAACTATTAAAAATAAAACTAAAGACAATCGTTTACATAAAATAAATAGACAAAAAAAAAACCCACTGGGAAAAAAAGAAAAATGATAAGTATACAAAAAATAAAAATAAAATTTTAAAAAAGTAAATGATTAAGTCCCACAACGCTTTCTTTTTTAAATATCAGAATTTTCTCAAAGTAGTAGGTTTTCTAAAACTAAAAGTAATCTGTAAATGTGAACACCTCTGATAAGTGGTGAATAAAAAATTAAAAAAAAAAAAAGATAAATTTATTATATTATTGATAAAAGATCGTCCTTAGAAATGTGTTAGACATGTTTTTTAATACCTACATTTTTTAGATCATCTAAAAAGTAACATGTTTAAAAAAAGAAAAAAAAGGACCTACCAGAACATATGTCATAAAAATTGTTGGTAATATAGAAATTTTGCGCTTGATTTGGTTTTAAACTACTCCTGGATTATTATAAAGGGTTTATTTTATTTAGGAAGTGTATTTTGGAGGCTTGGAGGTTGTAATAATAAACATATTAAACAGCTTTCAGGAGGGAGATATGAAACATGTGCAATAAAAGCCATGAAACACACACCCACATGACAATGTGTTAAGAGAAGGAAATATTTAGCAGATCAGAATGGATTTGAGTTTTTTAATGGTTTCGAACACAACACTAAAGAAATGATCGAGGTTTTTGACAACTCAAATGTTTAATCAAGTGTTTGGCGGGTTAAAATAAAGCAAGGGTATCGTGCGAATGAGGGCAAAGAACGAAGACAAAATAATAATGGATGTGTATTTTTTTGTTGTTGTTTTTGTTTCTTTGTTTTTTAGTTTCATTTTTTCTTTTTTTTGTTGTTTTTGTATTAGAGCGAAAAACAATAGATAGATAGTTTAGGGCATAAAGCCTCGACTTACGGGTATATCTCGATTCGTTCACCGCACATCAGACGGATAATTTCGGGGTCCTCGCTGCTTAATATTTGGCAATCACTTTCGACAGATTCTACATTGTTGCCGGTGGAGAGAAATTCAAAACAAAAAGAAAAAAAATGGAAACAAACAAAAAGAGAGAACGGCCAGTTTTTACTTTAAGCGAGTCGGTAATATCTTTTTCTCTCTTTTACTTTTCTTTTTTGGTTTTAAAGAAGCGGCGGGCGGAGAGAGGAAGGATGGATGAGAAGAAACACAGGGACGACGACAACGACGACGACTTTTTGTTGAGGCAAAAAGCAAAAAACCAGAGAGATGGGGGGATGAAGAACGGATTTTTACTCAGGCCAGATGGACCAGTATTTACCACTAAAATTTCCAGTAACAATTCCAGGGTATATTATTGAGATTAATGGGCCGTTTGGTGGAATGTTTGTGAAAAATACGAAATTTATTTTCTAGCACTCACCTTCAGAGGACGAGATGCTTTGACTTTACGCGGGGAAAAGCGTATTTTCTATTGGTTGAAGTCGGCCATGTGATCCCAGTGCCCTTGCTTGCCATGTAACGACGCATTCGATTGGACAGTTGAGAACGATCCTTTCAATCTCATCTTGGAGAGATTTGGACGTCATTTTAAATTCTTGCTTTATTTTTCAACAACTATGCCAAAAAATATCTTATATTGAGAACAAACATCGAAAACTTTAATCAGTGTAAAATAATAATAAGACAAGAATATCAAATGTACTTTTAGTAGGAATATGGCATCCTCCATAGTTTGACTCGGGCAACATAGGCGAGGCCAAGGTGGGGTAGATTTTTGGCGATTTTGCCTGTCGCCAAAGGGTTTTGTGGTTATTTACCAATACGGATTACTGTACCAGATTGCTTACTCTGCCATGGAAAGGATCCATAGTTTGCAGGGTTTAGTTTCTCGGAGGATTTTACTGTGGAAACATGCCCGTCGTTTGAAATCTGGAATCCATCATCATCATTGTCGTCATGAGGAAAAGCGCCACGTTTGGTTCAGCAGCAGCAGCAGCCAACATGGACGTCACAACCAGACAAAATGGCTAAATAATAACAATAATGTTAGTAGTATTATTAACGGACGTTCTTGTTGCGAAACACACCTTCTTCCCGACTGCTCGGATCAGATCGGCCAGAAAGCTTCATGTTTGTACCCTGCTACTGGGGATCTTAGCCCAAAAAATGAGAAAATCGGACTTGTCGAAGTAGCAGCCGAAAAAAGAGAAGGGCAAAGGCGTCATTTTCTTGCTGATCAAATTAATATCAATAACAACAATTATTTTTACACTTCAATTGGAAAAAATCTTTTTTCGACGGTTAGTTTACATTTTATTTTTTACTCATTTCTTCCCACCTTTTCATTTCTCTAAAAACATCAACTTTTATTTATTGACCGATTTCTGCAGATTTTTCAACTAACCGATTGCACATATGACTTTATACATACTCAACTGTCTTGTTATTGAGTTCAGTAGATTTTACAAGCATAAAAAAAAACTTTCACTGAGTTTCACTCTACGTGATCATTTTGATTTCATTCATTCAATCCGGATTATTACAATTATATGAATGAAATAGACACTTGTCATAGCAATTTCATACACACATTAGTTTTATTCTACCGACACAATGTTTACTTTACAATTTACATGTTACTGATTTTACAAGTACACGAAAGATAGGAATCCACTCACGTTAAAAATGAATAGGAGTCAGACTTACTTTAACTTCTTGTTTCTTATTTTATATACTTTAAATCTCCAAAATATTTATAACATCTCATCAATTCAGGAAAAAAATGAATCATTAAAAAAGATCTAATAATTTAACTTTTTTTTTTTTAACAAATTTTCATAAAAATCGGTTTAATTTTTTTCCGCTTAGTTTATATCACACATTGTAGATTCTTTTTTAATCTATCAATATTTTACTCGTATTTAGAAAGATAATGAAATAAAAATGCAACTAGTTACTAACTAGTCTTTATAACTTTTCTTTTCAAATTTTATAAGTACTTCATTTCATTTCACAGTAAGAACTGAATAATGAATTTAGCCCTATAATGTATGAATAAAATAATTCACATGTGTTTATTTAATGTGTTACAGATATTACAGATTTTCCAATCCTGAAAATAGTGAAAATGTACTCTAGACTAAACCTAAATAAGGTTGGGTGGGGGGGACCATGTATTTGTTTAGCGGAAGGTTACTAGTACCGTGTTTTATTTTTTAAATTGATCTTCTTATTCTTTTCGTTGTTTGTTTCTTTCAGAAAAATATTACTGTTGTTGACTCATCAACAGTATTGAGTATGTTTTTTTTTGTTTGTTTTATTTAGAATTTCTCATTCAATTGGCACAATTTTCAGTTTTGTGTTGACTTGACTCCAGTCCCTATTTACGGCTATGCGTAATCAGTACAAAAAAACAGGTGTTTTCTTAATTGAACTCAATAGTTATTATGAACAAAATGATTGATTTTTAGCTTTTGCTGATTATATATATATATATATATATATATATATATATATATATATAGACTAGAGAGAGAGAGAGAGCTGTTTTTCCCCAAAATCCAGTAAAAATAAAATATTTATTTTCTGTCTCAATAGATAGATTTTCGTTAAAATCTTAAGTTCATATAGGTACCTTCATGAGATTGCTAAAAAAAAAAGAACATATGAAAAAGACGCCAAACTTGAAAACAAAATTTTAAAAATAAAATCTTTTAAAAAAAAGTTTATTCGCCTTCTGTCAGATCGCCAGATTTAAAATAGCAAATTCATAAAAAAAAAAAACGATTAAAACTTCATTTACAATAAAAAAAAATATTGTCATTATTTTACACTTTTTAAAGTCAAATTATTCTTGTAATTTTGACAATTTCAAGACCGTACATTTCCTACATTTGAAGCATCATTTTTAATTTAGAAATTGTTGAAGATTATTAAGTCTTTAATAAAGTTGTTTTCTCTAATGATGAAAAAAAAATTTCTGGGCTGTAATTAAAATCAGATATAGAGAGCGGAAAAGACCGAGTTGTACTTCTCTTGCCAACTTAGGTTTGTTTGTTTTTTTTTTTGTTTGTTTTTTTTTTAGGCAAAGTAGTATCTTTAAAAAAATTAGTTATGAAATTGAAAGTCTCTAGGTGTGCTACACTCTGATCTCAAGCAAGTGTCCAACAGATAGAATCTTCATATAGCTCTGTAAAAATAGCTTACTTTTTGTTTTTGTAGATTTTCTCCATCGGTTAGATTAAATGTGGGTTTAATAAAAACAGAAAAATAAAATAAAAAACACCTTGCAATGCAATAATTGATGATCACAAAGGTAGCGCGGTACCAAGTAAGCCTGTTAGTGATTCTGGTAAATTATAGTTTAAAGATGCTGTCTGTATGAAATGGTTTCTAAAGTCAAAAAGAATAAGAAGTTAAAAATAAACAAAATTTATCATTTTTCATCAATGAAGTTTATAAAAAAAAATAAAGAAAGAGGGTTATTGAATTTAAAGCCTTTTTTCAGCAACTGATAGTTTCTGTTTATGTTTCTAAAAAACAGTAAAAAAATCATGGTTAAAATTTAGGCATTGACTCTATACAAGATTTATTCAGAAAGCACTCTTTGCATGATACATTATTTATAATCACGATTTAAGTGATTAAATTACAATCAAGAAAGAACTTTTTTAATAAAAAAATGCTAATTGATAATTGCAAGAGGAAAATATGTGCAATAAAATGATTGACTTCACTCTTATTCTTAGTTATTGACATGTACAATATATCATCCAATGTAAGTAAAAATAGCAAATATTGACAAAAATTGATCAAATTTAAAATGTAATGCTTATTTGTTTTTCTTTTGATGGTTGAAATATGCATTTATTTGAACCACTGCTTTTTTTTATTTTTATGATAACTATCAAAGTAGACAAATGAAATGTTGACAACATTTCTCTAAAGATCAATCAAATATTCGATTCAGTCATAAGGTAATTTTTGTTAATTGTAGCAAAATGGCTTGATGTCTGGAAATCTTCAGAGAAAATGTCAGTTCTTGTGATTTAAAAACAAACTTTTCAATAGCTTTTAGTTTTGAAAATATGCAATGAAGAGTAAATAATTTACTGTTTGGTTGTCTTCTAAAAAAAAAAATAGAACTGTACTCTATTAATCATTAATTATTATGCCATTGATATGGCTTAGACTTTTAATAATGTAATTATATGCTCTAATTTATATCTTTTCTCAGTTTTTGTTGTCCTAACTCTTTTTGACCATACACATTTAAAATTACCATTTAGTCTCAACAACTGATCTAAACATTGATTATTGTAATGTATATTATATTATAATTACTACTGAAGATCTTTTTTTGTTATTAGCAACGAGTGTAACATTTAAACATGGCTTATCTTACAGAATTTGGAAACACCTTGCTAATACAAACTTTTTCTATGTGAGTGAAACATTTATTTTAAACCTACAAAGTTTGAATTAAAAAAGGTACAAACTTCCTCTCCAAGTTTTCCACTGCAAACTTTTATTATATCACCATTTGAATACACCTGCCTAAAACTCTGACAAATAAATGAACTTTAAAAAATCAACAGTAGCCTCTTCCTCTTTAAAACTAATTTTTATTTGTATAAATTTTATTTTCATTGTTTTACTGGTACTTGAACAACCAGTGATTCCCCTACACACATACACAGAGAAAAAATAACAGTAAATTGTTTCACAGGGCATAGACTTTTTATGTCCTAGCTCAATGCTCTAGCATATAAGTTCTATTTAGTGTGCTTATGTTATGAGTCAACATTATTGCTATTAGCTTGCCAAATAGGAAGATGTTTACTAAGATGGGATCTAGGAATTGTGAACCCTTGAATTTTTCAAACTGTTGGATTTTAAATTAACAACATCAAAGTCTACTTGTGTGTAATTAATATCTTTGTGGGTTGCAGCTTCTCCAGTTTTCAGAACTGATGGTTTATGCTGAAGAGTTAGCAACATCAAGTCTTCTCAATGATCCAGCACTCCCCATATTCTGTTTTCAGTAATGTACACCTGGATGACTTCAATTTCTCCTTGGTTATTCAATTCATCCAATCTTTGCATTCAGCTTTTCAGAGATGTTCTTACCATTCTAAAAATGATTGGTGCAATCATCATCTTCATGTTACATAATTTCTTGTTCAAATATATATCCAGCTTTTTATTCTTTCAATTTGCTGTTCCAGCAGACAATAAAGTCAAAATCCACTAACCTATTTTTCCTCTTTGTTAATTACATCTGGCTAGGATTGGATGATCCATTTAGAATTTCAAGATCCTATTTGTTATTTGCCTAAGTCTTATTTATCTTAGACATTATATAATTAGTTCTTGTGTCATTGTTCTGGGTAACTATTATAAACAATTTGGTTTCTCTCTCTAAATTTCTCTTTTTTGACTATGTCCATGTTTGTCTGTATTTACTTCAATATAACCTGAAATGTTCATATATTTGTTTCTCTCAAACATTTTTGGAATTTACAGATTATGACCAGGTTCTGCATTGTCTTAATTTTCATGCACATTTCCTTATTCTGTTTTGTTCATTCCTCAAATTTATGTCCCTTTTCTTTTTTCTTTTTTTTTTTAAACATAATTTGTCAATGTTTACTCTCAGGCACAAAGCTTCATATATTATCAAGTTTTCTTGTTTTGTGGTCCAGATTTCTGAGTTTTTCCCTGGCCAGTTTAAAAGTTCTAGATATTTTGCAATAGGAATTTGCTAAGATACTTTTGATAGAATTTCTGTTGTAGAGTTTGGTTTCTAATGTTTTTCTTCTATAATATTCTTTGCCAACATTAACTTTTATTTCCTATAGTTTTGATTGTATATCCTTCCAAGAATATCCAACTATTCATAAGTTTCTTTCATGTTGAGTGTTCTAATAACTTTTTGGATGAGAAGATTCTTCTGTTTTTTCTTTATTCATTACTAGCATTACACACCTCAATTCTTTTTTTTTTCTTCTTCTTATTGTCGTTGTTGTTGTAAATTATCATGCAAAATATCAAAAAGTTGTGCACCTTTGTCTAAGTCACTCATAAAATATGTAAAATAACTGAAGAATTTTTTTCCCTGTAGACATCTGTTGTATGCAAAATCAAAGGAAGATGATGAAATAATTTGACTGTCTTTTTGTTAGACTAGAATTTTGATTACGTAAATTACTACAATATTCATATGTTAAACGAGGACAGCTTGTTAAATTTTGGTGGCTATGTCATTTTTCTTTCTGGACATCAGCTGGGATTTGGTCAA